TTCACTTATCGAAACATTACATTTCAGTACATGACCTGTAGATGAGGTTCTATAGTTACCGTCATAGCTGCCGCCAAACGATTCTTAATTGCTAACATCGAACTACTTGTTTAAAGATAGCAGAATATACAATATAAATATGGGACAATACTGATTTTCAAAATCACAATACTGCTGACAAAACAAACATTTTTTTATCTAAAGAACCGGTGCATAAAAATGAATAAGAAAATTTGGAGCCATAATTTAATAAAATATTTGAACTGTTTCAGTCAAGTGTACGATTTCTAATAAGTTACGGCAAATTCAAAACTCGGAGCAACACATACGTATTATTTTCAGAAAAAGAACAAACTATGCAAACTCCAGAGACATCCAATGGCTTTTACTTTCTCACTACGGTGTAGAGAGAAACTTATATGATACTGCGCAAAAAAGCAGCGAATTTTCGGCAGAAAAACTCTTATTACAGAGTTATGGTAACGAAAAAGTGGATAAATCCCGTTGCTAAATTTAGAAAAGAATCCTTTAACACGTGGCGTTGCCAAAATTCATGTTTTGTGGGTCATTCACACCTAAAAATCGATTGGCAGCAAACGCGCCTGTCTATCTATCTATCTGTCTGTCCGTCCGTCCGAGTACAACGCTAGCGTCTAAACCGTTCGGCCAATTTTCTCCCAAATTGATATTATTCATCCAATAAGACTGATGTCGCGGCCCCTAGAATTTGAAACCGATATTTTATTTTTGCGGGGTATTTAGCAATAAGCCTCTGGGACATTTCCCAAATTTGCAAAAAGAAACTAAGAAAATCGTTTTTGATTGAATTTGTTGTTGAGTGTGAAGAACGTTTAAGAGACTGGTGCAGGTCTCATATTTGTTGAAAACTCTGAATATTCGCAAATTGCAAAGGTTCAAAATTTGTTTAGTTTTCCTACAACTAAAATATTAAAGATAGAGATTTTTTCCCTTAATGAAATACGATCCTTAAGAATAGATTTTGAAATAAGGTCACGAACAATTTTTCGAAAAACTTAGTACTTTTCACGTAATTATGCATGAAAATGTGGGCGAGAAAGTACGTGTTTTAGCACCGCTAGTTACATTTTTATTCAAAACAATTTTCAGGAGTGTGTGAAAACCTTCAAATATGATTTTCCTGATATATAAAATGCTTAACAAACCGGATTTGCAAAATTTTCCCTTGGCGGCGCATAAGAGAAGATAAGAATCGTCTTCAATTGCAAGCGGGAACGAAGTTGCAGAAAGACAATTTAGGATCGATCAACGGATGTTCACGTGTAAATAATGAATCACGTCTTTCCAGAATCGCGTGTTCCATGCATGCATCATAACTTGAGGTCATGCAACCTTGCGGTGTATTCGCAGATGCCACGCGAGTCGAGCGGGGGGGGGGGGGCGGCGGCAATCACAACCTTCAGATGAATACCATTAATTCAGGAGAGGAAATATTAATTTATTATACAAGACGATAAGTGGTACATTATCTTCGACACGAACATATTGCTTTAGCGGGGAATCTTTGAGTAGGTAAAGTATGTTATTGTCGTGTGTAATATTTGATTTTATTCCAATTTTTACAAAAATACCAAAGAAAAGGGGTTAGGTTTTTCCAGGATAAATATTGTAGTTTTCTAACAGTCGCCAGGAGCGCGTACTCTCAGAAACGTTTTAATACGTTTAATGGGTTGTAGTTGATAAGCAGGTACTGTAGCAGCATATTAGTTGCCATGAAGCATTGTCTTTAGCGTGAGAAATAAAATAGTGAAATTAAGGTCTAGCTTTTTTTCCATTTTTCTTTTAATATGTCAATAAATTAGATTTGATAGTAAAATGTCAATGTCTCACTGATTGCGTTAATATAGACAGAAGGTCTCCATTTCAAGAGCCCGGTCCCACCAAATCTTCCAAAACGTGCACTTGACGGATTATTGAGAACCTTTCCAAACTGTTTTTCTCTCTTGATTTCCGAAGCATTTGTCAATTTAAAACATATTTATAAAAACACGTTTATTCCGGTTTCCAATTAAAAGTAAAAATTTCAGGCATCTGTTCATTCTTAATATGAACTCCCTCTCCGAATGACCCAGAACGCCGCCCTCCTGCTCCCAGGACAATGAATATTGCAATTCCTTTATTTGGTTGCCAACTCGGACAAATGTTAACAGCAAATGTACAGAGCCTGACGGCAGCCTAACGTACTCTCCGTCGTTAAATTTCTAGATCTCGCATGAGGGAAGGCGGCTTTATATAACATCCGCAATTAGCTCCATAATTGTGAGTGCTTATGCTGGCAGCGACTGTCGCTCTCACTGCATCTGCAGTATGCACCCAATGGAATTCTCTGCTACAGCAGCGCCTACGGCTCTCTTCTTTGAACGCATTATTTTACCTAGCAGATTATCCAGTAAATATAGTTATTTAAAATAAATAACGTTCCAAAAAAGGATTAAATTTGCTCCAATTCATATCGAGTATACAATTCATGTTTGAAACCTTCGGTTAATGTTTTCGACACAATCTACCACTCTCTATCTTCAATGAGATTATTTCTCTAATTAATTCTCTTCTCTGCGTTTTCTTCTCCCGCGATCCTTCTCACCGAACGAGATCCGGTGCCGACCTACACGACTTTGGCTGACGCGTTTCCCTCTCCTGTTCATCACCTCCAGCAGAGCACCAGCCGCAGCAAGTACTAAACTTCCCATTTGTGTGGTAGTATAGTGCATGGAAGAGCGAGTCTGTGTTTGTATAAAGGGACCGGGGGAATAAGGAAAAGGAAAGAATGATCGCGCGTGGTCCATGGACAGTTTGTTAGGGTATTGCTCCGGCATTCGCCTGCTCTCGATCGGACAAATCACAAAAAAACTAAGACTCAGAACAAGCGACCGCTGAAATTCACCGCAGCGTGGTTGAATTCGACCCAGCTATGAAACAGGTATCGAAAATCCACCACCATCGGCATTCGAACCCAAAGACCACCTGGTCGACGATAGCTATCGAAGGCCGTGCTTCAGATACGATTGACGAAAATAGCACTTCCAAATTATCGACGTGAATTGACAAAATTAAAATATATTGCAATGAACTAGAACTATGATCATCCAAATCTCTCCGGGTTCATCCCTCCATCACATTCTGTTCCATCAGCAAAAATGTCTATATTTCATGCTTTATTTTGTAACACACTTCATAACCATGGTCACCAACTTCAAGGCAAGTTCATAACATAAGTTTTGGTGACATCTAACACAATATTTAAATAATTCTATTAAATATATTACATTTTTTAAAAAAATATAATAAACAGTAAAATTTTATCAAATGCAAATAGTTACGGCTAACCTTGCTCTGTCTACCTTTTTTCTAACACCAACGGGGTTTCAACCCCCATCCCCTGCAGCAACTAAATAATGCTAACAGCGTTCTAACATTCAGGCTCTTTGAAATCAAATATAGACGACTAAGGTGGACATCGAAATGTTTCTTTGTTATTTTCATGTCATTTTTTTTATTGCTGACTACAAAATGTTTTAAAACCCGAAGACTGGATAAGACTGGACTAACGAAGTTCACAGAACACACGTATTTTAAAATAAATATTCAGGGATGTTGTGTGTGTGCATAAGTTATTGTGCATGAGTGAGGAGGGGGGGGGGTAGTGTGAGAGAGGAGAATAGTGTGTGTGCGTGCAAGAGAGCGAGGGGGTGAGAGAGAGAGGGGAGTGAAAGAGAAAGAGGGGTGAGAGAGTGGTGAAAGAGAGAGAGAGAGGGAGGGGTGAGAGAGAGTAAGATAGAGAGTGCATGCGTTTCTTATGAGTAGGTGGAAATCTTCAAAAAACACCAGGTAGTCTAAACGACCCAACTTCTGAGATTTTTACTACTAGAACCGAACCTCCCTATGAAATGTGCATATGGACACATAGGCATTACATGGTGGATAGTGGAATGTGTGTATGTGAACGGGACAGTGTGTGTGAATAAGAGGGAGAGGGCAGGAGGGAATAGTGTGTTCTTTTGAATACACATGAAACACCAAAGCTTTAAAATAAAAAAATAAAAAAGTTTACTGAAAATTTGTAGTGTAATGTAAACTGTTTACACCAATATACATTTTAATACTTCATTACATGCAACAGCAACAATAAAATTAATAATAATAATAATAATAACAACAAAAAACGTATTATTCATTACGTAATCATCATCAAATACACCACACTATCTAGATGATGGTCACAGGTTGACATCGATTAGATGGGGATTAAAAAACTGTAACACAGTTCTTATACATCGATGATCTTAAATCATATGCTAGGAGTGAAGCATTCCTCTCTCAAATGTTGTCTATGGTAAATGAATTCAGCAGTGACATCTGCACGCAAGTTGTTTTTCTCAATGTGTAAGTCAACTTAAGAAAGGCAAAGTGGTAACAATCAGAGTATTCACGTTGACATTCCATACTTCAAGTCGGGCAAAACATACAAATATTTAGCCATTGAAGAATATGAAATCTCGAATGACACAATGAAAGTAGAATACTAAGACTCAGCTCCGAGAATTCAATTATTACACAAGTAATAACTAAACAGACACTTTGCTTCAGCTGGTTTCAGAGGGAGTGACAAAATTCAGAGGTGTAGGAATGATGTCAAATATTTTCATGAAGTTTCCCATTGATAATTCTCAAATTATCCATTTGTTAATGATTCAGTTCAAAGGCACAAGTATGTGAGTGAAGGTTCAGTTCAAAGGCACACAGTCAAGTGGAATCTTCTGTAGTGCATCAAATTTTTCACTTTTCAAAGGAACTGTACCCGAAATTCAAATTGTAACAAAAACATATTCATGAAAACTGAGAAACATGTAACCAAAACTTCAACTGATTTTTAAATTCCTAAAACATCTCACAGACCCTTAAAGATAAACCTTAATATATTTTTAAAAAAGGATTGAAAAATGTTATTTTGATTACTTTTATTCACTCTTTGCAATGCAAAACTCAAACTAGAAATTATACTGAAGAAAAATTCTGCTTTTTTCACATTAATTTGAGAGAAATTTATCAAACCAACTACAACTGAAAATAGTATAAAACTATCATACAGATAAAATAGTTTAAAATACAAAACGTTTCTCAACTCTCCTAATCCCAACTAGTGTAACTTAACATTCAGTCATAAAAATAGTAGTGAGAATATTTACTTACTTTAAAGCTTGTGCGAGCTCTTGAGCAGCAGACTTTCTTCGTTCTGCATTGGTATGTAACAATCCATAAAAGTCGATACCCTGACAAAATGAACTACCAGTAGATGTTAAAAGTACAGCTCTACAGGTTTCATCCTTTTTCAGATGAGAAAGAGCATCTTTTAATTCTCTCAATACCTGCAATAGACAGAAAGGCACGAAAATTCATTAAATTTCAGAATACATTGCTTTGCAGGAAAAGAGAATTGTTTAATTGATGTTCACCTGCAGATTCAATGCATTTTTCATTTTTGTGGACTGAGGTGTGAGTATTACTTGCACCAAGTTATCATAGCGACGAAGGCTAATATCTTTGTAGTGATATGCTCCTGCATTTTGACGAACACTTGAACGTTGTTTTGTCACTTCTTCGCCATCTTTCTTTCTCTGCTTCTGGCTTTCATTTTCAAGAGTTTTCAGTAAATTAGAGTACGCTGAAAAGATAATGAAAAAATCGAGTTGGTTTTTCAGAACTATTTCAAAACAAAATTTTAGGCCCAAGAGAAAAAACATTTTTTCACAGTTAAACAAAACATAACTCCCCTGACATATGACTTATTTTATTACATTTTAAACAAGTCAATTCAACAACCAGTAATTAGTAACAAATACTACTTTTTTCCCTTGGGCCCTTCCTACTATGAATTTGTTACACTTACTTGCAGCATTTGGGCTCAAGGGAGGTGCAATGCCTTTCTTGCCAGTAGTTCTATTGGTTGGAGTTGGGCTTTTTGAACTCCTACTTGGGCAGGGAGAGGAGGAGTGTGACGTCCCACTGGAACTGGCTGTCTTCTTAGAAGACTTTTCTTCTCTTGCTTCTGCAGCGAAAGCAGAAGCGGCTGCAGCAAGGCACGACGTCAAGTCTAACATTTCATCTACAATGGATCCGTTTGCATTACCACTTGTGCCAGCTGTTGCAGATTTGGAAGTCTTATCTTTTGTCACTTCTTCTTTCTTCTTGCTCTTAGCTGATCCATTTTCTGCAAGTTTCTTTACACTTTGCTTCACTTTTCCTGATTGGAAACCTTTTGAAAAGTTCTTTGACATTTCCATTTTTAATTTAAGCTTGTCACTAATACTGATCTTTTTTACAGCAGCTTTCTTTTTCTCTGATACTGTCTTCAGCATAGATACAGAGGACCCTTTTGATGTGATTTTGGCATCCTTATTGTTTTGCTGAGTAGCTTTGTTGGACTGTTTGACAGGTACATTTACAATTGAACTTTTCTGGTCTTGTAGTGGAATTTTCTTTTTCTTTCCTTGATATGTTTGAATAACTTGTGGTTTTCTAACGAAGATAGGAACTCCCTTTTTCCTCCCACTTGAAATAGAACCACTAGACTTAGAAACATTCCCTGAATTAGTTAATGTCCGTTTCGTATCTAATGACTTCTCAGCATTTTCTGCACCTTGTAAGTCAATATTACGATTTGTGCTTGGACTTGCACTTCTGCTTGAAAAATTACTGCTGGAGGAATGTCGGCGAATAATCCTGGAGGCTTCAGCTGGTAATGGAAGTCGCACAGGATACACAAAAGACTGAGAAGATGGATCGTCTGGAGTGAGAGGTGGAGGTGAACGGAGGGATTCACGAGAGTCCAATGACAATTTACGTTGCTGGTTGGATCCTTGATCAGCCGATGTAGACTGCTGACTGGGAGCTTCTGTGCGTCTTGTAATTCGTGAAACCATTGGTGAAATCCCTGAAGAAGAGCTGTTGCTTAAACGAAGAACAGCATTTTTAACGAGGCGAGTCTTCAATAAAAGATCTTTCTTCTTTCTGCGGACAGACTTCAAGATTCTTCTCTGGGGTGGTACTACTACATTTTCTTCTGGGGCAGAACTTCTTCTCCTTGAATCGCCATGTTCAGCCTCATAGAGAAGATTAATTGCTCCTTCATCCATTAACAGGCGATCTACTTCACCCTTTCTTCGTTTCACATTTTCCTTGCTTTCCTTCTTCTTCTGAGCTGCTTTTTCAGAGTTTTCAGGGCTTTGCTTAGGAGGAGGTGAAGGTTCTGGAACCTTGGTATCCGTGGCTTTTGGTTTGACTGGACTGCTCTCTGGTTTGACACTTTCTACATTATTATTTGTAGACAGCATCTCTGGTGTCTGAAGGTTTGGTGAAGCATTTGTATTGGGTGTCCTTTTCTTTGGACTATATGTTCTAATAGGTGTAGTGAATGATCGAGGAAATTCTGGAAAATCATCAATAAGTGATGAACTTTGAGTATCTTGACTTTCATTCAAAGAATCTGATTTAGACACACTAGCATTTGATCCTCTATTAGATGTTCTCACATTACTTCCTTCAAGTGGACTAGCTGTCTTCTTTCTTCCGTCACCCACTTGATTTTTTCCAGATGTGGCAGGAGAAATAGATTTCTTTGGCTTAGAGTCAGAAACAGATTTTGTGTCTTTAGCACTTGCAGCTGCACCTTTACCTTTAGCTACTGCATTTGTACCCACATTTCTTTCCGTATTATTATTGTTATTATTGTTAATACTACTTGGAGAAGCATTCTTTGAATTTTTTAATTTCTTCGGACTTTTCTCTTCAGTCTTTATGACATTAGCTTTCGAGTCACTTTTACTTTGAACTACACTCTTCTTCCCAGAGATCCTAGGTTTTTTAACTTCTCCAACTGGACTCTCTTCATTTTTCCTTTTGCGCCCTTTTGTTACAACCGGTGTCCCAGAAGCACTGCCAGACGAATTCAATACATTTGATTTAGTAGTATTCTGTGCATTGCCTTTGAGACCAACTGTTCCATTTTCTTTATTCAATGGTTCTTTTTTACCCTGAGATCTTTGTCTTTTCATCTTTTCATCAGGTTTTTGAACTTTATTTGACTTCCTTCTCCGAGAATTATTTTGAAATTCCATGAGCTGCTTTAGTGCTAATTCTTTCTCAAGGAGTGGATCCAACTTCACATTAGTAATGTGAGAAATAGGTGGTGGAGGAACATGTTCATGGACAACTGTTGCCACAGAAGTCTGTGGTGTTGCAGCTGCTACAGACGCTGGACTCCAATCAGGATCTCCATCTCCCTCAAGAATAGCTAAGAGATCCCTATGATCTGCTATGGCAGGTGATGTCGCAGTTGAAGGATGTTTTAAAGGAATAGTGCGATTAACTTCTGGAGATTGTTGTTGGGTTGTCCTAACTGCTGCACGAGATGCTACTGACACTTGCGCACCACTTGGAGACAAACGGTTAGCAAGCCTCTGAGTAAGTTTAATGGCAAAAAATAAATCACCACCTTCTGGCACATTGCGAACTGGATGCTTCTTTAGCGACCGTTCAAGTAATTCTTGGGCTAATTCATCTTGAGTCACTATTTGACTTGTCAGATTGCGATAAGGCACTTTAACACCGAGACGAGGTTTCTGTAATCTGCGACCATGAGAAACTATATCTTCTACTGGATTATTAACATTGCGTCCCATTAAATGAGGTGGAACAGGAAAACTTGGAGTAGCTAATGGTTGCGGCAATGAAGCTTTCTCTCCAACGTTTGTGCTCCTCAATGTGTGTTGTTGTGGCATTCTGGGAGCTGCTGCAAGAGGCTCAGCAGCAAGACTTGATAACAAAGAAGACAGACGACTAGTAGCAACTTCTTGTAGATTATTAGTTATACCTTGCACAGTGGTGTCACTGCTAGTTGTACTGCGAGTACCACTAGACTCAGCAGTTCTGTCAGTTCCTTTACCTAGACTAATAGCACCGACATCCATGTTCTACGAATATACACTTACCTCAGGTACAAGTATGATAATTAAAACTTCCTATTCAGTGCAGTACTGAGTAACAGTCATAACATAACATTTTTGGTCATTTAAACAGTTCATTTACAGCCGAACGAAAGGCACTCTTTCATCTGAAGGCACTATCACCAATTAACACAAAAATTGCATTAGTAGGATGACTTTCATGTTGAAGAGGAAATACGATTCTCCCAAACCTGAAAATAATATTACATTTCACGCTATTACAGTACAGAAAACGACACATAAACAATGTTCAAAATGAAACAATTAATTATTTAAAAACATACAAACGTTGATGTCTCGTAAGATAATACTACTACAAAAAGAATATTAATGTCATCGCTTTAGAACATCGAACCAATGTCGTTTTAATTTTCACAAAAACCTTTCGGGCGCGGGGTGGACGAAGGGTGTTGACATTCTCGTTACGTTGTAGTGGTATTATCGGCACAGTGTCTTTCACAACACATCAGTATTATACATGCTGCCCACCAATTTTCGACGACCTTCCGACTACACGTTCCAACGCAATCATGCAAATACATTTATATTCTACATGAACAAACAGTGGCAATATACACACGGTATACTTCGTGTACTGCGAGACGTTCGCGATACAGTATGACGCGAGTTGACGAATGATCCATTATCAAACAGTAAACAACATTAGGCGCACACTGCACACGAAATGAATTACGTGCGCAGACAAATCCTAACACAGTTAATAAAACTGATCAACACCAACCTGTTTTCCCCCAGTGTGGCGGTCCTGTTCTTGCGCATGCGTCACCCGAAAATGCCCGATGCCCACCAAAAGCTTCACGTTGCGTCGCTGTATTTCCGGTTCGACTTACCAGCCTGAACGCAAAAGGGGTTCGGGCGTACTTGGGGCGAATAGTGTCCAACGGTAGAGCATACGAGTGATCTTTATCATGTAAGGAAATAATACATCACTTATGCGTCGTTGTTTTTCCTTATTTGTAGACCGGTGATTGAAATTTCGTAAGACCCACTGTGCCGGTTAATATCTCTACTCCACCAGTGCTTCTCTAATATAGATTAATATACACACCCCTTATTTTGATATACGTAGTACTCTCGCACTGTACGTTGGGTAAGGGTGGGTACGCTGCATGGGGTGAGCGCACTGTTCAACAGGTATGATTGCGTGCTACGTGCAATAACGCATGGGAAGACGTGAGATACTACACTGTTTTGTGACATGAAGCGTAAATATGTATGCTAACTGTCAAAATTGGTTTTAAGCCAGAACGGTTAAATATTATGAAAACAGAATGTAAACAATGAAATAATTCTGTTAACATTTTTTCCCACCCAACTTCTGACAGTTTTACGGATTCTAACAAAATAATTCCTTTACGTCACTATAAGTCGATAATCTCCAATCAGAGTAATTTGCCGCCACCGGAATCGAACTTTGGCCATCAATGACCGACCGTTTTATCAAGCGCAAGTGTCGGTTTACCTGCGACGGTGACAAACTATTTTATTTTATAATAATAACAAATAGCGTTCGCGTAATAAAATATCAAATATGCCTACAATGTATTTAATATAGGGAGCATAGTGCAGGCATCCTTACTTGCTTTATCTACCTCATATTAATTGACTTCTGAGACGTGTTTTGTGAACTTTCGTAAACATTACAAGATTGCAAGTCACAGAATTTGTCATTACTGCAACACAGCTTGTTTGTTAGATAATTTAATTAATATTTTCAGGGAAAACATGGCACTGATGAAGACATACAAGCATCTTTTAATTTCTACAAGATCTCATTTGCGAATAATTACATTAAATAGACCCAAATCGAAAAATGCTATCAACACAGAAGTAAGTTTTGTTACTTAATTTCTAATGGATAATATTGTTTAAATGGTATTTAGCATAGTTTAAACTGTTGATTGTTATTTTAGATGTATGATGAAATCGTATGTGCCCTTAATGAGGCTGCTAATGATGATAATATTGTAATCACTGCAATTACTGGTGCTGGTGATTACTATTGCAGTGGAAATGATTTGCGGAATTTTAATGATGCAGGTGGTGATCTGGGAGAAACAATTAAAAAGGCTTCTTCAAATTTACAGTAGTGTTTCTTTTTAATTTGACCTCTTTTTGCATGCATTTTTACTCTGAGGCATTTCTAATTGGATTCTATAATTTTTTGTCTTTTTTCCCAGAAAATTTGTACAAACATTTTTTGAATTTCCAAAAATACTGGCAGCTTTGGTGAATGGCCCTGCAATAGGTATTGCCGTTACTACATTAGGTCTGTTCGATGTGGTGTATGCATCTGACAGGGTAATTATAATATTGTAATAATAATTATCACATAAAAGGATATTTATTGTTTTTTATTGCCACAACAATTCAATGATGAGAGTCTTAAAAAAAGCAGGTTCATTAAAATTTTAACTCATTAATGAAAGAGGTTTTGCCAATTGCATACATTTTTAGAAGTAGCAGTGATTACCTACTTATCAAACCCAAGAATTGCTTAGAATTTTTATGAAGTACATCAGTATGATTTATGTTTATTATACTAATAAACACATATTATATGCATTGCTTTGAAACAGGCCACATTCTCTACTCCATTCTCATCGTTGGGCCTTACAGTGGAAGGATGTGCATCTTATACTTTCCCCAGAATAATGGGACCTGGAAAAGTCAGTATTTTTGCAATAAAAAGTTTGGATATGGTTACAGTACTATACCAATGAAGTAATCACTTTCTCTTTTATTCTTTCTTCCATAATCAGGCTAGTGAAATATTGTACTTCAATAAGAAATTTACTGCTCAAGAGGCCAAGGAATGCAGACTGGTGACAGAAGTTATCCCGCATGATAAGCTTGATCGTGTATTGCCAGAGCTAGAAAAACTGAGTAATCTTCCATCAAATGTAAGTGAAAATTTGTTTGGAGTAGGATATGAATGTATTTTTTTGACATCAAGCATATGATAGAAAAAATTACAACTTTATTTCCAGAGTCTATTGTATTCAAAAGCACTTGTTCGCAACCAAGAGAAAGAAAATTTACAAAAGGCTGTGGAGGCTGAATGTAAGAGATTGGAAGAACGATGGCAGTCTGAAGATTGTTTAAATGCTGTGATTGCATTCATGAGTAGAAAGAATAAATTGTAGAAAAAAATATTTACAGAACCAAAATTATTTTATACATTTTTATTGTAACTAGTAATGGAAGTGGGAAATACTGAATTGAGAATAAACAGCATTGTACTTTTTATAGGCTTTTCTATTAACTTCCACATCTGTCATCAGATTTATATTTCCAATACTTTTCTGTGGCTCAGAGATATTATTTCCCTTCACTCAAATATTCATTTTGTTAATAATTTTTATTTGGGTATTTGGGATATTTGGGATATTTGTTTGGGTAACTTGTCTTTCATAACATTTGTATGAAAAGGAAAGCTTTATATATCTTATTTCTTTGCTTGTTCAAATAGTATTGAAAGAAAATAAGATACTTAAAAGAAAGAATTGTTAAAGGTCTATCACAGTCAAACTTTATTTACATGAAAAGTACTATTAATAAAATATATAGGTTTGAGACGTTATTAAAATAGATAAGTTTATTTTAAAAATAGATAAGATTATTTTAACAATGGCACTTCTGTGTGTGAAGTAACAGTACATAAACAGTACACAGTAAGACAAGGAAACTACACTTGTCTTCTTGTACTTCTCATAAATATTTGATTTTTAAAACATTTTTCATAGACTTTAAAAAATGTCAGTAATGAGTACGTCACCAAAACTATTTACAGAGGATACAGATAAAAATGAATATTCACAGAAATGATATAAACATTTACGTATTTTTTAAAAGCTAGGTGGGTTTAACTTATTGACTGCAGAATCGTTTTCAACTGACATGTTTCTAAACATATAAGTAATGTAGTCAGTAGAATCACTCAAACCCATATTCTGAAAACAGAAGGAGAAAAAAATTAACCAATTACACAATTCATAAAAATCTGCCAAGAAACACAAAAATATACCAACTTGGAGAACAGAGATATTAAGAGGTTTTCCATGATGTTCCCATTTAAAGAGTTCATTCATGTGCAGTTTCTGGGAATCAGGTTTGTAATTCTTCAGTAGCAAAGTAGTATCTTGACTGGCACAAGGATCACCTATTTCCACATTCTCTTCAGGCGGGCCTGGAGCCTCTCCAGAGCCAGAACAATCACATCGCAGAAGATCATGAGTAAGGCATGATACGTCAGTGTGAATTGTGAATAAGTCCTGCACACAAGGATCCAAACATTTGATTAAACAAATGACACAAGCAGGTTGCGTAATGGAAATAAATATTAGAGAACGTAAACCCATTTAAAAAAACAACTAAATGTCCCAAATTAAGAATGTATGATATAAACTAATGTTCATTTGAAAAGAGATCATGAAAAAAAGTTTTCTTTTTTACAAGAAAATCAAAGAATTGTATGTTTTTTAAAAAATATTTATATAAGAATTGTTTTCAGAATGATGTTCAAATCAATTTTTCAGAAATGGATGTTATCTGTAAACCAATAAAGGGAATTATGAAGTTCAATTAACTTAAAATGGAAAGTAAGCACTTTTGTCACTAACTCACTAACATACTTTCAGTTCCTCATTTGATAACTTGATACTAGTCTTCTTATGTGAATCAACTATTGCCCCACTGAGATCTGTTTTACTTAGCTGACGTTGAAACATCTTTTCTTCTATGCTTCCGGTAGTAAGTAGTCTAAAAACAGTTCAAAAAGGAAATGTACAAAGTCTTCAGCATTACCTTCTATCAATAATGAGCATATTATTGATATGCTCATTACTATGCATATACATGTTTTAAAAATAAATTTTTTAAAAGTTCCTTTTGAAAATGAACAATGAATTATGCAAGAACAACAAATCATTCTTCAATTACTAAATTTTTCAGGTGACAAAAACATTTTAACTTAAACTTCCAACACAGGTGTACATATTCTAGGTTACAAATAAATAAGAGATGGTTTATCAATAAAAAAATATTTACCTGTATATATGAACAGCCCTTTTTTGACCATCTCTCCAAATTCTGGACATCGCTTGAAGATCTGTTGCAGGATTCCAATCACAATCATACAGAACAAGACGTGAAGCACCAGTTAAATTGAGTCCAACACCTCCTGCACGGGCACTCAGCAAGAAAATGACTGAAACATCAATTTGGAAAAATTCAAACTTATGAACTTGTGGGTGCCAACTTTTACATTCTTTATTTACATTAACTTATTTATTTCATATAATTTTGAGTGTAAATTTTATTGAATATCTATAAGAATTTCTATCATTTATTTTTCATTATATAATAGTTTTACTTACAATAATCAATGTAATTGCTATTGAACTGTTCCACAATTTTTTGTCTTTGGCCAGATGGGACTGACCCATCTAAACGACAATACTTAAATTGCTCTTGAGAGAATACAGATGCCAACATATCTAAAGTCTATAATAAAAACATATCAATTAATTATACCAGTGGATAATTTCTGAACTGATCTCATACTGTGTGCATTAAAAAAATTAAAATTATTCAGTTTTCAACTAACTATTTGTGCATTGTTATCATAGAATAAACCTAGTAACTAAAAATTAAATACATAGAGCTGAATTGTTGAAAACTTTTTATTAGGTATTAGTAAGTTATCATTATGTCCACCAACCAATGTTATTTTCTCTAATTAAGTATAAATAAATTGATGATGCCAGAACAACCTATGTCACTCAGTTATTAATAGATTCAAATTAAAAAGAAATAATACAATACCTGTGTGTAATATGAAACGACCACTACTTTCTCTTTTTGACTGCTAGCATACCGCAACAAGTTCATGAGAACAATCAATTTACCAGAGTGTTCAATAGAAAAATTATAGTCATTTGTGTACATTTGTTCTAAATATTCAGCAATCATTTCCTAAAAAATTAAGAATCTTTAGTTTTGAGTTTACCTGTGTAGTATCCATTGCGTTAGTTCCAAACCACAGAAACAAAGGTAGATTCATTAATGAAGGAATGAATAACTGGACGGAAATGCCACAATAAAATATAATGTTCATTTGAAGAGAATAATTTTATGTCATCATAATGGAACAATTTTACATTCATTACTCACAGATTTATCCCATACTAAGAATGGATGATTGCATATTTTCTTCAAAGCGGTGATCACACTCAAATGGGCAACATTATCAGAATGTGCTAATACTTCCCTATTTGTCCAATATGATACAGCAGTTTTGTACAATTCTTCCTAAACCCAAAACATTTATGTTAAACAGTTTTTAGTTAAAAACAAACAAAGATTGTTTAATTGGAAATCCACAGTTAGTGTTTTCCTATATCCTAAGGTTAATTGTTAAAAAAAGTATCTATTCCCAGAAGTCTTTCATAATCATTCGTATTATGTGATTAAATATTTCACTATCATTATTCTGCAACATAATGATCAATTAAAGATCAGAGAAGCAAGCTTATGTAAGGCTATTAATCCACATTATTCACCTTTTTTTTCTTGCAATATAAGAACTTGCCATGAAAGATGTATTATGTTGAATATTCCAAACAATAAAAAGAGGGTTGTACATATGCCATGTAACTTAAGGGTCATAGAATCTACCAACTGTGAGATCAACCTTTACTGGTAATAGTTAATATATAATGGCACATTAGCATGAAAATGTGAAACTAGAATCACTTCTTTCTTATCAAAGCATGGCAATTAAGTGGTATGATGATAGCAAACAAGAGAACATCATTTCAATGATTCCAAGCTTCCAGTTATTAAGTATTCCCTCTTAGAAAAATATAAGTTGATTTCATTTCTTTATGGAAAGTCTTTTCTTACTAAATTTACAGTGCATTTTCTCTCAGTAGACTGATGAGTATGTACTGGATTATATGCAAGTTGCATACGTATGCTTAATTTGCATATTTTGAGGTAATTACATATTTTTTACAACTTGGCATGCATAAGCATATTACTACGGTTTAAAGAAATCCAACTCCTAAATTGCACTGAAAATTTCTTAGAAGTAAGTTGCTTTTGTTTGATCCATTCTACGGACACCAATAATGGACTTGAGAAATGACGAGACCACAAAATTCCACCTATTCAATTCTTGCAACAAGAACAATGAGTAGATTCAAGTAGGTTGCAACAAGAAGGTTCTTCCAGGAGAAATTTTAGATGGTCTCAATATGCCACATTCTTTAATGCCGAACAACATCAGTAAACGTTGAAAGAACATTTTAAATGAAAAAACATGTATACAGATAAAAGAAGTAATTTTGTGGTTGACAGTTTTGAAAAACACATGGTAAAATGTTTCACAAATACTACTGTCTGGTGAAGACATTCGCTTGTAACCTATTGTTAAAAGTAATATTTAATAATAAATGTACTACATAGTCAAATTATTAATATGCTTATGTTCATTTTTAATCAATATTTCCTGAAGTGTTATTTCCTGAATATTTGCAGATAATTTGGCATAAATCTCCATTTGCCATGTATATTTTAGAAAACCCCTGCATGTTTATGAGCATATTTTTCCAAAAAAATTTTTGCATATAATCCAGTCTCTAGAGAGGAGTTCACTCAACATTTTCGCATAAATTAATATTGCTCATAAACATGCATTCACTTTTCTTTAATAATAATAATAACGATAATAATAATGATAATAATAACAATAATAAAAATGTCCTTATTTAATACATAACAATGACATAAATCAACACAATATTTAATGAAATAAACTTTTAGGAGTTTTTGGGTTTGAGCAAATCTTGTTAACATGTTTTCTAAATCTGATCTCCACGTGTATAAAAGAACGTGTAATATAATTTCAGAGAAAATAAATTGAACTACAATGTGTGTAACACTGTACCTGTAATGAAGACATGACACAAAATATTACTGATTCCGTTTTAGTAGGTAGAAACTTGTTAATAACATCTTGTGTGCGTCGTAAAATAAACCAACATGTTGCAGAGCTTAGCTCTGATGTTCTTTTCTCTCCCAGTTCCTTTACAGATTTTGATGCACGAGGTTGACGAGATGCTAGTATTGGTTCTTCATAATATTGATGAAATTCTGAAATAAACCAAAATGCTATTATATTATTGAAAAATAACACATCAACAATTTCATAATTTCATAGAAGATTTATTCTGTAGAACACCCATCCATCCATCTGTGTATATTAATACACACTATAAACACGATAAATCAACAAATATTTTTTTGTATTATATATTCAACATTTTTTTTGATATATTAAAATTTCTCTTGAAGTCTCGTTATATCTCGTAAAAAAGCATTCTATCATATATTGTAAACTGTCTCATACATATTTTACAACAGAGATTTATATATAAAGGTGATAAATTCTCATTGAACAGGGAAAAGCATTTCTGGAAATGAAATTATTAGAAACATAATTTTCCAATTTCAATCCCAAGTACTATCTTTTCAGTCTGTTCAGTATATGTTATACATTTGTTTCACTCAATGATAGTAATTAAAAGTAATGAAATCCCAACACAGCAGATGGTCTATACCAAAAATGCACACTCTCATCACTAGTTTTTAACATTTACCTGAATACTTAGCTCTTTTAAATACCTGAGAAATTCAATTGGATCAGTCCAGGTTATGAAAGAAAAAAATTCAAAAATCTACCGAAATAATGGAATAAAAAAAAAACTTATAAACATATGAGAAAGGAAACTATTATAAGAATACATAACTTTACATCAAAATTAATGTTAAATTATGATAAAGAAATGTGGATAATGAGAGTAATGGGAAGGAGTATGTGAGAAAACTAAAAGTAGCTCAGGTGAAATGTTTAAAGCCAGTAACAAAAAGAGACAAAATTGAACGTGAA